ATAATGATGATAATGATAATAATGATAAGGATAATGATAATAATGATAATAACGATAACGATAATGATATTAATAACAATAACAATGATAATGATAATAACGATAACGATAATGATATTAATAACAATAACAATGATAATGATAATAACGATAACTACCTATCTCTCCCTCAAGGTGATTGACCTGCTGAACATCGGAACAAACCAGAAGCCGCTCCAAGTCCGCTGGAGTAAGAAGAAGAGAGGTTTTTTCGTCGAGAATCTGTTCGAGATCGAGTGCGCGGAGCTAGACGACCTCCTGGCGGTGCTCGAGGAAGGTAAGGAAGGGAAGGTGAAAGAGAGAAAAGGGGAGAAGGAGAGAAGGGGGAGGGAGTGAAAGAGAAAGAGAGAGGGAGGAGAGAGAGAGGGAATGAAAGAGGAAGGGAGAGGGAGTGAAAGAGAGGAAGGAGAGAAAGGGAGGGGGGAGTGAAAGAGGAAGGGAGAGGAGGTGAAAGGGAAAGGGAGGGGGAGTGAAAGAGAGAACGGGGAGAAGGAGAGAAAGAGAGAGGCAGTAAAAGAGAAAGGGAGTGGGGGTGAAAGAGAAAGGGAGAGGAAGTGAAAGAGAGAAAGGGGAGATGGAAAGAAAGGGAGAGGTACAAAGTGAGAGAAAGAGGGAGAGCGTGAGCCTGAGATCGATTGCGCGGAGTTGGACGACCTAGCTGGCGGTGCCCGAAGAAGGTAAGGAAAAGGGAGAGAAAGGGAGAATGAAGGAGAGAGAGAGAGAGAGAGAGAGAGAGAGAGAGAGAGAGAGAGAGAGACAGACAGACAGACAGAGAGAGAGAGAGACAGAGAAAGACTGAAGAAGAAAGAAGAGGGAATAGAGAGGTCGGAGGAAGAAAGGACAAATGAAAGAAAGAGAGTAGGAGAAGGAGGGAGACAGTGAGAATGAACTCTACGACCTTCTGTCGGTGTTCAAAGAAGGTAAGGAGAATTAGAAAGGGATAGAAAGAGAGAACTAGAATGAGGAAGAAAGAAGAGGAGAGAGAAAGGGGCGAAGGAGGAAGAGAAAGAAAGAGAGAGAATACGAGTACTAAACGTGGTGTTGGCGTTGCTCGAGGAGAGTAAGGAGAGAGGAAGAGAAGAAGAGAAGAATGAAGGAGATCAAAAGAATATAGAAATAAAATTAGGAATTATAGGAAATAGCAACAGAACGACGATCAAAATAGAAGATTTTTAATTGTAAAAAAACAATAGCAGTATATGAGAGAATAGATAGACGTAAAGAAAAAGAATATAACGTCAGGGTAATTGACAATGAGTAAACACGAGGCTCAGTTGTTCATGCAGCGAATTAACAAAGTCTGTCAAGAATAAGAAAGAAGGGAGAGACGGAGGGAGAGAGTCAGCCATTCATTCAGTCAGTCAGTCTGTCAGTCAGTCAGTCAGTCAATCAGTAGGTCAGTCACTCACTCAGTCACTCAGTCAGTCACTTAATCATTGAGTAAGTTAGTCAAATAGATAAGAGTATGTGATGTCTGTAATAGTAGTCAGTTTGAAGGTCGGGTGGTCTTGCTGATAAACAGAACGTTAATGAATTAGGAATGTACACACGCGCTCGCATAGACAAATAAACACACACACACATACACACACACACACACACACACTTGCGCATGCAGATGAGTATAGAAAACTGGGTAAAAGTCAGATTCATGTGTGTGCGTGTGCGTGAGTGTGCGTGTGCGTGTGTTTGTGTGTGTGGTGCTTACGTGTGCGTGCGTGTTATATATGTAATGAGGCAACAGGCGATTAATAGCAACTGGCCTTCAGTCTCGCTCATTAAATGAATTACCATAATCACTCACTGGCATGAATGATGTTCAATTAGTGAAAATAAATGGCGTTAACATGGAAAGAGAAGAGACAGAGGACGTAGGAAAAATATGTGGAATGCAATGGTGAAAAAGGCAGGAGAATAAGAGAGAGAGGAGAGAAGGGGGAAAGGGACGGAGAGTGAGAGAGTGATTGAATAAATGAGAGATTGAAAAAGCGAGAAAATGAGGTGAAAAAGGGAGCAGAGGTGGGGCATACAGATGGAAAAATAGATAGATAAAGAGAGACAGCCGAAGAGAGAGAGAGAAAAACAGACTGACAGACACACAAACAGATATAGAAGGAGAGAGAGAGAGAGAGAAATGGATAGTGTTTTGTAATTTAAAATATCGATTATGACAAGAACAGGATGAAATATCTTAAAGGGAAGCATGGAGCAGCTACAAATTATAACAATGATAATAATGATGATGTTGAAGAGAATAATAACAATAACGGTAACAGTAATATAACAATAATGATAATAATAGTAAAAGTGATGACGATGTTAATAATAGCAGTATCAGCAGTAATAATGATAATACACTACTACTGTTACTACTACTATTACATATGATCATAGTATAATAATAATTATGAATAATTAGTAGTAGTAGTATCATTATTATTTTTATCATTATCATTATCATTATTATTACAATTATATTTTATTATTATTACTATCATTATTTACATTACAATAACAACAAATACAAATAGCTAGTAATAATGATAATATTAACAATGAAAATAATAATAATAACAACAATAATAATAATGATAATGACAATAATGATAATAGTAATAATGATAATAATAATAATGATAATAATAATAATAATAATAATATAATAATGATGATGATGATAATGATAATAATAATAATAATAATAATAATAATAATAATAATAACAGTAATAATGATAATATCATAAACAACAACTCCCCGTGTGCCTCCAGGCCTGCGAAATCGTGCCATCGCCTCCCACAACATGAACGAATACTCCTCTCGAAGCCATACTATTCTCTCGGTCAACATTACGTCTGAGAAAAAGGTAAGTTTGCCTTATGAATTTCTTGTTATATATAAAAAGGTAGATTTTGATGTCAGGTTTTTTTTTCCTCTTGTAGATAGATTTGTTTGGATGTGAATTTCCCTTATAATTAATGATGGAAGTTTGATATAGATTTTTTTCGTATAAAGAGTTAAGTTTGGATTGTAAATTTGGTCTTTCTGAAGGATAAAGAGTTTTTAGTCTAGTGAATAAGAAGTCAAGTTGGGATATAAACAAATAAGTAAGTTTGGATATTAACTTTCCTTATGAATAAAAAGGTGAATTTGGATATCATGGTTTCTTAGAGTTAAAGAGTTAAGTTAGGATTATAAATTTTCCTTATAAATGAGAAGATGAACTTGGATGTTATTTTTTCCAATAAATAATGGTTACTTTGAATGCGAACTTCCTATAAAAAGGTGAATTTGGATGCCAGGTCTTCTTATATATAATAGCCTGGATTATAAATTTCTCATTATCAATAAAAAGGTGACTGTCAGATTTATAAACAAAAAGGGAAATGCGAGTACGAATTTCTTATCATAAACAAAAAGTTGTATTTGGATGTCCGTTTAGTATAGATTTCAACTTCTCTCCCTTATAAATAACGCGGTTAGTTGGGTAATTGAAGAATACAGAACCAAAGTGGGATATATGTTTACTTCCTGATAATATTTATCCTTATTCATGTCTTTCTCTACATTTTCTCCGATTAAGAAATGATTAATTTGGATTAATGAAAATAGATAGATAAATAACTTCACGCTTCATAATGACTTGTATTCCCTTATAATTTCACTTCACAAATACCTCCGTCTTTTCGCAGATAACTTCAATAAATCTCACAAACAACATTCTCATGTCACGAATGTATCATCATTTCGCAAACAACCATCATCGCTTCTCAAACAAGCACTCTTACTTCACACACAACCATCCTCACTTCAGACAACCATCCTCACTTCCCAAGCCATCCTCGCTTCCCAAACACCCAACCATCCTCGCTTCCCAAACAACCATCCTCGCTTCCCAAACGACCATCCTCGCTTCCCAAACAACCATCCTCGCTTCCCAAACGACCATCCTCGCTTTCACCCCATCCTCACTTCCCAAGCCATCCTCCTTCCCAAGCAACCTTCCTCGCTTCCCAAACGACCATCCTCGCTTCCCAAACGATTATCCTCGCTCCCCAAGTCATCCTCGCTTCCCAACCAACCATCCTCACTTCCCAAGCCATCCTCGCTTCCCAAGCAACCTTCCTCGCTTCCCAAACAACCATCCTCGCTTCCCAAACGACCATCCTCGCTTTCCAAGTCATCCTCGCTTCCCAACCAACCATCCTCACTTCTCAAACAGCCCTCTTCCCGCCCCCCTAACGCGCGCCTCCGCCCCCAGGCCGACGACGGCGTGTACATCACCCGCAACGGCAAGATCAACTTCGTGGACCTGGCCGGCTCGGAGATGACCAAGAAGACCAACTCGGAGGGCAAGACGCTCGAGGAGGCCAACAACATCAACAAGTCCCTCATGGTGCTTGGTGAGTGTTCTTTTTTCTTCCGTTTTCCTTTTTCTGTTATTTTTTCTTTTTTCTTTTTTTCTTCATGGTGATTGGTGAGTGTTCTTTTTTCTTCTTCTTTTATCCCTTTTCTGCTTTTTTTCTCTTCTTCTTCAGCAAGTCCCTCATGGTGCTCGGTGAGTGGTCCTCTTTTTTTCTTTCTTTCTTTCTTATTTCTTTTCAGATTTTTTTCTCTTTTTTTCATCTACTTTTCCTTCTTCAACAAGTCACTCATGGTGCTTGGTAAATGCTCTTTTTCTTCTGTTTTCCCTTTTCTGCTCTTTCTTGTTCTTCTAACGGTGTTTGATGATTTTTTCCCCTCTTTTTTTCTTTTATTTTACTTTTCCTTCTTCAACAAGTCGTCTTTTTTCCTTTTTTTCTTTTTCTTCTTTTTCTTGTTTTCTGTCTTTTATTTTCATTTTTTCTTCTATATCAGGGTGGTCGTTCTGCTGTTTCGTTGTGCAGTTGCTGCTTCTTCTTTTTTTACTTTTTTATGTTTTTTCTTCATTTCAGTTTTCTCCGTTTTATGTTTTTTCTGCT